GTCAAGGGTTCAAATCCCAGCTTCCTTACTAACTAGTTGAGTGACCTCAAGCACATGGTCCCTCCATAAATCCATAAAGGGTGTTAAACCATCACTGGAATATATTAGGGGGAAAAAATGGTATCAAGTAACTCAGGTCTCAACATAAGACCCCTTAAAAAAAGACTTGAAAATGTGAATTAGTTCCACTTGGTAGATTGTGCCTTGTAGCAAAAGAGAATGAAAAACCTTCCCCACTAAATGAACCATTCCCTCCCAACACTCCTAAATGAATATTAAACACATATTGCAAGAATCTTGGCCGGAAGGGAAGATGAATTATTAGAGTGCCATGGTATTTACATTTCCTGAACAGGCTCTGCCTCTCAGGGGTCAAAGGGAGGCAATGAAGCTATGTCATTGGAAGGATGAAAGCAAAGGCGCACCTGAAGGGTGCGCCTTTCTCCATCTCCTTCCACCTCTCCTGAGATCATTACATCATTAAACTTTTTTTGTATAATTTACTTAGAAATTGCTTACTCACTTCCTTATGACATTTCCCCTATTGTTGTACTGTGATCTGACACCTATTCTTTTGTGTACTTTGTAATATTTTACGTACGCTGTATGTGGATCATGCCCCCCAAATGACTTAGTTCACAGAGCACAAGGCCACGATTATAGTTCCGAGTGTCCTATGATGTACCTGATAAATTTAGAATAGGATATTAATCTATTTATATTTGTTTTGATACAGGGCAAAATCCAGTACCATGAACATGTCACTGAAGGATTTGAGAACATGCCAGCTGCATTTATGGGAATGCTGAAAGGAGATAATGTGGGGAAAACAATCGTGAAAGTGTGAAAAAAGTGACATATGGAATCTAGAAATCATTTTAATAATTACTTAATTTCTTTTTAATCATTTAGTAAAGGTGCATACTGCCTTCATTATCTAAAAAATCAGTGATTGTAATGAGTCTGATCTACCTAATAAAGTTCATTTAAATTGTATGTAATTGGCAACAGAGAATGAAAATTTCATAGTGAACAACAGCCAGTCACCTTACTACAGTTCCTTCTGAGTTATGATTAAAAAAATAAATAAATAAAAATGACCTTGGAGTGCAAAAGTTAACTGCTTCTGTGACCTTGAACTTCTGATTTTTCATCTGTAAAATAAGGACAGTAACACATGCTTCATATACACATTATTTATTTATTTAAAACACCAGCATGATGCCTGGCATATATTAGCTACCTCCCTGCAGAAATTGGTGAATTTAAGGTCAAGATTGCCACCCCTGTTACTTATGATTACAAGAGAAATAATCACTGTTAACATACAGAGGTCTCGGGGCAGTCCACCCTATTCCTCCTCTGCAGTTGAGTCTAATAACACGACAGATCAAGGAAGCAATCTACCAATCACGACAGTTACAAAAAAAGCACACGAGACTATATATAAGCCTACCAAAATGTGTGAGATTAAAACATTACTGAGGAACACAAAAGACTTGAATATGTGGAAAGATACCATGCTCTTGGACAAGAAGATTCAGTATCATACAGATGTCAATTCTGCCACCAAATCGGGAAGGGTTAAATTGTAATACAGAGGAAAAAAATGGGAGAAAAAAGTGTGTGTGTGTGTGTGTGTGTGTGAAATCTGTGTGAAGATGTGATAATATCGTTTGTTTCCAAGCAAGAGAACTGAGGAGTGCCCGAAGGACAAAGAATAAGACAAAAACTTTACACTGTATAACCTTTTATACTTTCTGAATTCTGAATATTCCAAATTATTCACTATTGCAAATACAACTGAAAAAGTAATAGTTTCTGCCCTTTTGCGTCGCCTTCTCATAGGTCGGAAATAAAACATACGTGTGAGATAAAACTCAGGAAAACGTGGGGTTACCCCTAGGACTGGGCACCACTGGCATTTTTAACTCTCAAACTTGTCCACATTGAATCTCCAGCAATTCATCAATTATAGTTTCACCCTTTTTCTGTTTAGAAAAAATCGCAGCTCACTGCCGGCGTTCATTTAACATCAAACATAGGAATGCTGCGTTTTCTAGGACTTGTCATTTTCAGCAATCAAACTACTAAAAACAATGCTATAAACAGAATGATGTCATTTGTTTCCAAAGACTATCACTACACTACAGCAACACGAAAATAATAAAAGCGACAAATTTCGTGGCAAACTCTGGGTAAGGCTGAGACTGTAATCCGCGAGTTATTTCAGGGTAAATGCTGCAGCCACAAGCGCCACTGCTGAGTATTCTTGGGGCAAACGGAAAAAGGGTTCCGTTTTCCTACCCTGGTACTGGTTCCCACAGAGATTTCTGCCCTTGGGCTTCTACTCCAGTAACTAGCGATTCTCTCTATCTGCCCGTCTGCCTCACCAGCTTTGAGGGCAGCAGTTTGCCCTGTGACCTCAGTTCTTTGCCATATCTAATAGAGTTATTGCCTTTTAAGTTCATTAAACTCTTTTCCTATTAGGACAGAGTGACAACTGCCAAATGCAACACATGCTGGACCAGAAACCAGAAGTCAAGACCATATTTTTTAATTTTGATAATGTTTCTTTGATGATTAGTGCTTTTAGTTTTTCCTAAGACATCTTTTTTTTTGACTCAAGGTCCTGAAATTTTTCTCCGATAAATTATTCTAAAAATTTTTACAGTTTTAACTTTTATGTTTGATCTGTGATGGAGCAGGGACTAGGGGATTGCAACTGACTGCAGACAGACGAGAGAATTTTAGGGAGTGATTTTAATATTCTTTTGCGGTGAGGATTATATAAGGGTAGACATTTATCAAAACTCATAAACTGGCACATTTAAATGTATGCAACTTATTGTATGTAAATTATACCTCAATAAAGTTAATTTTAGAAACGAAGAAAAATAGGTCCAGTATAAAATGCAGACCACAAGACATGAGCTTGCTTACTACCAAATTGCTCGGACTCCTGGCTGGCTTGGACAAAGTAAAATAAACAGTCAAAGGAAAGCCGAAGTCTATAAGGTTCACAAACACAGTATACATACTTTGTGAGAATGCTTCCCACGTGGGCATTAATATATGTATTTTCTCAGCTTAAGAAGAGACAGGAGACTTCATGTCTCTTCCACTCTCATCTATATCTCTTTCTGGAATTTATTTTGGTCCCAATAGTAAGATAGGTATCCATCTTTATTTTTCCCAAGTTACAAGCCAGTTTTTCTAACACCATTTAGGAAATAATCCATCTTTCCTCCATTGATTTGAAATAGATCTTTAATACGTATTCTATTCAGAGATACTTGGTTTCATATCACCTGTTCGATTGGTATTTACATCTTATTATTTTGCTACTAATGTGAATAGGAATTTTTTCTTACTACATTTTTGATTGCTTATTGCTGGAGTTTCAGAACATTTTTAAGTACACTTGACTATGCACAATTTATGCATTTTTGAAATAAAGTATTAAAGAAAACAATGCTCTTTTTAATACAGTATTTCGGATTGATACGTTTAAAATTCTTGCCACATTGTTTTAGTCTGATGCTTACAGCATAGATCAGAACTACTGCCAGATAGCTAATTGGACTCGATATGATACAATTAATTGTGTCAAAAAATGCAATTTTTGCCAGCATGCGATATTTTACAATTCAGGCATTCTGAGTTTATGTTCTGTGAACTTGTGCGTACCTCAAGCATATAATGTTTTTCAGTGACATCTTGATAGTAAAGGGACAGTCAACATCCTATAGACATTCCTAGATGAAGAACCAGGCAGGATATCATCATCGACAGCATATTCCCAGCCCAACTGAAAAAGTTAAACAAGATCTATAGTGTTCCTAATTTTCAGGTAAAGAATTCTGCCATGTTCTCCTCTGAAAAATCATCCAAAACAACACAGAGTATAAGAAACAAATATACAGATTCTACTTTAAGAAAAATTTAGAGGAACCAGTGGATGATTGTAATAAAAACAACAAATAACAAGTGATGGCAAAGAGGTGAAAAATCAGTTTTACCAATTACTCATACATTGCTGGTGGGAATGTAAAATGGTGTGGATGCTTTGGAAAATAATTTGGCGGTTTCTCGAAATGTTTTAAATATAAAGTTACCATATGAACCAGCAATTTCACTCATAGTTATCTACCCAGAACTGAAAACCTACATCCACACGAAAACTGGTCCACAAATGTTCATAGCAGCACTATTCATAAGAGCCGAAAGAATAACCCAAATGTCCATCATGTGATGAATAAATAAAATGCAGTACATCCATACAATGGAATATTATTCAGTTATAAAAAGAAATCAAGTGCTGATATATGCTACATGAATACATCTCGAAAACATTATGCTAAGTGAAAGAAGCCAGATACAAAAGGCCACACATTATATGATTCCATTTATAGGAAATGTCCAGAATTGGCAAATTTAGAGACAGAAAATAGAAGAGTGGTTGTCAGAGACTAGGGGCAAGGAGGAGTAAGGAGTGATAGCAAATAGGTATGAAATTTATTTTGGGAGTAATAAACGTATTCTTGAATTATAAAGTGGTGATAGTTACACAACTCTGTGATGGAAAACCACTGAATTGTATGTATACTTTGAGGAGCTAAATTTTTGCATCGTTATTTCTGATAGCCAAAGTATGAAGATAACACAAGTGTCTGCCGACAGAAAGAAAATGCAGTATGTTTATATGTGCATATATATGATAGAATATTATTCAGTCTTTGAAAAGAAGGAAATTCTGTCATTTGTGACAATATGGATTAACCTGGAAGGCATTATGCTAAGTGAAATAAACCAGAAAGATAAAAGACAAATACTGCATGGTATCACTTATATGTGGCATCTCATGGAAACAGGGTCTGCAGGTGGGGAAAATAGAGAGAGGTTGGTAAAAGGCTACAAACATAGTAACTGTAGTTAATAACACTGTATTGTATAACTAAAACTGAGAGCAGAACCTAAATGTTTTCACACAGGAAAAAAAAGATAACTATGTGAGGTGATGGATATGTTAACGCAGTGGGGTGGGGGAATCATTTCACAATGCGTGTGTATCAAATTATCATGTATACCTCAAACATCTTACAGTTTTGTCAATCATACCTCAATAAAGCTGAAAGGTAAATTTTATCTCAATAAAGCTGATATAAAACATTGAGACATGTGTAACCTCAAACAATATACGAAGACATATTGTTTAGAGGAATTTTTATTGACTTAGCATAGGAGTGAAGGGCACAACTGCCCTCTGTAAGGATACTGATGAAATCTGAAAAGGTTTGGGATGTGGAAACATCAGGTACTCTGGAAGTGGTGAGGTAGAAATCGGCTAAAAAGAAAGACAGTGCTTGAAAAAGTGAATAAAGATCAGTTCAAGCCCAAGATGCCACTTCTACCTTGCATGGTTAGGTGATTATCCACCCCTCCATACCACCACAGAAAACTGAGGTGTTGCCTTTTGCCAAATGCAACTTAAAAGTCTTTTAACTTGGACACCCTGGCCCCGGAGGAGGGTGGAAATGAGACGTGAGGCTAAAAACAGATTAAGAAGTCTGTGTAAGGAGGGTGAACTCCAACTCCCACCCCACCATGCAGCTTTCTTCTACCTACTCCCCAACAGCCAGGTTTATAGGCTCTGCCAGATTAGAAGGTCCTTCTAGAGAAATTACACTGTTCCAAGAATGATTCTGACAGACACTGACATTTAGGGTCCCAAAGGCAAAAAATAGGTGAACACACAGTCACCTTTCATAAGCCTACAAACTGACCTGCTTCTCCCACGTACTCAAGCTTCTAACACAGAGGCCCTGGACGTTGAGTTGAACACTGACCAAATCAAACTATGAATTGTCTCCCTGGGAAAATAAAGTATGCCTTATGTGTAGGATGAACGGTGTGGTGATCAGAAGGATGACATGTGGCAGAAGCAATCTATGTGCACACGGTGAGGGAAGACTGCATTTCCTAGCCTCCCTTGCAGTTAGGTTAAGGTTATAGGAATGACTTCTGGCCAATAGAGAATAAAGGTAATTTCTAAGCCAGAGGTTCGGCATCCTTAGTACCATAATCACTTTTTCACAGTGCCCGTAGGGCAAAACAAATAACGGACATTTCCATTTTTTAAATAGGTCCGAACAACACTATAGTAGCAGTTGGCGCCATGTCCAATAGTTATAGGTATGGTTCCCTAAAATTTTAAATATCCTGGGAAGCCCCTGTGAGTTCAGTGCACTGGGACACGCTGGCACCCAGTTGGGACCCATAGTTTGAAGCTGTCTCCAGGCCAGTGCTTAGAAACACTGTAGGACACTCCAGCTCTTGCTTTCCCTGCCTCCTGAATCTTGGAAGTGGTACATTCCAGATGGCATAGGTACAAAATGTTCGAAAGCAATAAAATGTTAAAAGGATGCTAGGAAATAAACTTTTACTGAGTTAAGCCACTTTGATTTCTTAGGGTTCACCGTGCTTAGCATTGCTTACTCCAACTCTGTACTGTCCAATACAGTAGTCATCTAAGGCTACTGAGAACTGAGAATATGGATAGTTCCACATTTCGAGATTTAAAAAAAAACGAAGCACAGTAAATATTTTTTTCCATTAAACACAACTTTATTGTTTTGCTAGAACTACAATTCACTTTAACTGTTGTATCGTATAGGACATTGCTGATGTCTTGTAATACTTGTATAGAAACGTGCATTATTTCTAGTATTACAGATAAACATTTCACCAATCTAGTCGGTATCAACAGACTGATTCAGTTCAGATGATTGTCTTCTATGCACTGAAGCAACATCACGATGTGTTTACTTGGATATTTTATGTACACAGCACAAGTTAACGCATACCGATGCAGACAGCACAAGTTATAGCAATACCTATGTAAATCATAATCACAAAATGGGATACTTACTACTTTAATTATAATTAAATTTTCTAGGTTAAAAAAATACAGGAAAATATTTTTAAATTTTAAATGAAGGCATATTACTGAGGCAAAATTCAGTGCAATACAGAAGCTGGTACCACAACTAGTAATGAAAAAACAGTAAAGAGGGTATAGTGCACGTTCACTGATGAATGGCAATTGCAATATTCTGCAGGCACAGCAACATGAAAAAGCTATCTGCTGTATACCAAAGTGTTAAAGATACTACACTAGACAATATTTAAAACAATATCTAACATTTAGTCATTTTTCAGCAACGAGTAGTGAGTCTTGGTAAATATTCTAATAGTCGAAAAAGAACCCATGAAATTAGTCTTATGAAAACTAAATTTCCAACAAAAGAATTTAAACAATTTTTAACAGTATTTGAGCTTGTAAACTTGGCCAGCTATAAACCAGTTTGAATTCTTGCACACAGACAAAAAGAAGAATCTTAGATGGAGAGATAATAAAAAAATTTTAGTTAGGGTGATTCAGTTAGAAATTTATGACAAAAAAACTTTAAAAGACATTTTTAAAAAACTGAAAATTTCAATTAACCTAATTTTGCTTACAGAATACAAGAAGTTTCTAATAATATCAAAGATAAATTGATTCAAAGAATTCATCTTTAGCATTAGATGAGTCATGTAACATAAGACACTATCCAATGAAAACTTTAGGTATTCTGTCTCACAGAATATCTAAATTTACAAAGAAATGTCAATTCATTGTCTAAAAACTCAAACTCATGACATATTTCTGACAATTTTCCATTTTAAATGAAGGCATATTACTGAGGCAAAATTCAGTGCAATACAGAAGCTGGTACCACAACTAGTAATGAAAAAACAGTAAAGAGGGTATATAGTGCACGTTCACTGATGAATGGCAATTGCAATTTACTGCAGGCACAGCAACATGAAAAAGCTATCTGCTGTATGCCAAAGTGTTAAAGATACTACACTAGACAATATTTAAAACAATATCTAACATTTAGTCATTTTTCAGCAACGAGATAGTGAGTCTGGTAAATATTCTAATAGTCGAAAAAGAACCCATGAAATTAGTCTTATGAAAACTAAATTTCCAACAAAAGAATTTAAACAATTTTTAACAGTATTTGAGCTTGTAAACTTGGCCAGCTATAAACCAGTTTGAATTCTTGCACACAGACAAAAAGAAGAATCTTAGATGGAGAGATAATAAAAAAATTTTAGTTAGGGTGATTCAGTTAGAAATTTATGACAAAAAAACTTTAAAAGACATTTTTAAAAAACTGAAAATTTCAATTAACCTAATTTTGCTTACAGAATACAAGAAGTTTCTAATAATATCAAAGATAAATTGATTCAAAGAATTCATCTTTAGCATTAGATGAGTCATGTAACATAAGACACTATCCAATGAAAACTTTAGGTATTCTGTCTCACAGAATATCTAAATTTACAAAGAAATGTCAATTCATTGTCTAAAAACTCAAACTCATGACATATTTCTGACAATTTTCCATCTGTCAAAGAATTTTAGCAATAGAAAAATTCATTTCCATCATAAGAATGGGATTCCAGCTATCTTAAGTCAAAAGACAGATATATTGGGATTTTAAAGCAAGAGAATGATGTTTCCCTCATTGCTCTGTTCTACTTTAATATTAAAAAGATTTGTGCTCCATTTCTGAAGTAGACTCCAAAAAAGAGTCATGGATACAGATGTTAAAATTCTTCAGTATATACATGTAAATGCTATAAAATAATCATTTCCAGTTTATTGTTGAAGTTTATTGTGGAATTGTTGAAGATGTTCCTTGGTTGAGTTATCAAAGAATTTTACAGAAATTTCCTGTATTAGTAATTCCAACTTAACATTTTCTTGAAACAAAAAGAATGACTGCCGAACATTCAATAGTCTAAGACAAAAAGGGGCAGTGCGATTCATGTTTCTCCCTAATATCACACTGTACATGAACGAGCTAAAATTTGAAGGTCCTCAGAATGGGAAAACAGTGTGACCTACTTACTGCAAAAATGCAGTTAAAATTAAAATATTTCATAAAAGTAAAAAATGAGTTTACACATTTCTGTAACATTGATCAATATGCAAATTTTAAATGTAAAATCACTGTATAAATTGGCAGCAAAAAAAGACAAATGTGAAGAATGGTTTGTTGATATTGATAAACTTAGTTTTGTTTACATTTAGGCAGCCTTGCTAAATTTGATGTTAATTATACTGAGTTGACAGTCAGTGAATTTACTTAAACATAGTTTCGAAACTGATAATGCTGCTGCTCCAAAATCAAATCAGTTCTAATAAACAGATGAGCAGGTTTGTCAATGTGGATATAAATATCAAACGAAAATCATTTTTTGATATTTGATCCAATCACTGGAAAACTCTAAGTATGTTTAGAAAAATTATATCAATCTACTTTTCAACTCTAAATCTATATATGGATTAAGTATTTTAAATGAAAATTTGGTGCGTGAATGAAGATGTGCTACAACTATAAAATACACACTGGGTTTTGGAAACAGTGTAAAAAATAATAAAAATTATCTCACTAGTAATTTTTTACACATTACATGTTGAAATATGGATATATTGGGTGAAATAAAATAACATTCTTCTGCTGTTTTTACTTTCTGAAAGTAGCTATGAGAAAATCTGAAGTCACACACATGGCTCACATCAGATTCCTATTGGACAGTGCTGCAGTAACTGGAACACCTGATCAGTGTTTTAGAGCCCTCTTCTTAAATGAGAGTAGTCTAAGATTACCAGAAGTTTGAAGAAAACATCCAATGCGAAAGGTAGAAAACAGGTAAAAAAAAAAAAAAATTTCAGCAGACAGATAATGCAGGGAGCAGAACAACACTAAAAGACACTATAGCAGCATCCTCAGAGGGAAAAACGGTCAACCATGAAACAGAAACAGAATATTGTTAAAAAAAGAACACAGAATAAGAAAATGCACTTGGAAATATGACAACAGAAATAAAACATTCAAGACATTTAGTAGTAGAGTTGAAAGATAAAGTTAAAGAAATCTGCCAGAAAGGAGGACAGAAATCAAAGACAAGGGAGAAGTGATGTCAGGGAAGACGGCAGAGTTGGTGGTGCCAGGAATCATTTCTCTACTTAGACAATTGTACTAGCAGAAATATTTAAAGTGCCTATTTTGAAATACAGTAGCTTCCAGAGGAAAACCTGACTAGTAAGCTTCAATTAATAATCATGGTTTTTAGCTTTCAGCACAGTAGCAGCTACCCATCTTTCACCAGCCAATCCTGTGGCAGGTGGCTGTGGAGAGGAAACCCACACTTCTAGTTCAGCTTGCTGGAGCCAGAGCGGGCAATTTAGACTTTTTCCTCTAAATTTCAGAGTCCTGGGTTCTGACTTTGGATGGCTTCTTCTGATCGTGGAGGAAGAAGAGACACAGAGGCAAGTTGCCATTTTTCCAACCTCCACTAGCTAAAGTAGCTTCCAGGGGGATTTAAAAAACAAGAACACCTGTTAGGGTTTTTTTTTTTCTTTTTTTTTTTAGGACTTTGAAAAAAATGCATCTAAGGGCGTCATTAGAAAGCCACTACTTCTGCCCAGGGAAAGACAAGCTCAGAAAAGACCTGAGAAAACTTTAAGCATTCACCACAGACTAGACCTCAGCACAGAGACACCCTAAAACAACTTTTTAAAAAATTTCTGGAAAAAAGGAATATAATCTCCAGAGCTACCACACTGTAAGATTCAAAGGTTCAGTTTTCAACAATAAAAAATCATAAGACATACAAAGGAACAGGAAAACATGGCCCATTTAAAGGGATAAATATCAACAGAAAATGTACCTGAAGAAGTCCAGAGGTCAGATTTGCTAGACAAAGACTTTAAAACAACTGCGTTAAAGATGCTCAGAGCCAAAAGGTGGCTCTGATCATGTTGGCAGATCAAGGGAGGAAAAAGATTCTTCAAAACAGAAAAAACTGGGGAATATGTATCTATTAACTGCTGCTTTAGAGAGGAATGCTCTCCTTAGTTCTATTTTACAGAGAGACTATAAACATCATGACTATCAAGGGGGAAACCACCAAGAAGAATTACAGATTTAGCAAAGCTTGTAGGTTGTCAGAACCATTCTATAGGGACACTAGAGAACTCCAACCTGTAACTCTCTCAGCCTTAGAACCCACAAGAAAAAAGAGAGTCCAGGAGAAAGAGGTCTCACCAGTTGTTAGCAGAGTGGAAACTATTTTGCTAGCAAGTTACAACCTGAGCACCAGAACATGCATTTCGGACAGATACTCACAAGTGCCCCAGCTTTGGGAAAATGCTTCCTTAGGTCAGACCTTTATAGCCATCAACGTCTCCACACAAGAAGAGACCCTAGGAATGTGCTACACTTTATAGACAACAATATGACAGTGTGTTTTAAGAATCTTAACATGTTTCCCTCTTTAATGAAGCAGTTCCACACCTGAGAAATGATTCTGAGGAAAACACAAAACAGTAACAAAAATAAAAGTCCCTATCAATACAATGCAGGTACTGAACTGTGGCAACAAGCAGTATAATTGACTCTGTGAAAATTAATTAAAAAAAAAAAAACAACCTCACTCAAAATGGAGTCGGGGGTGCTCATCATTAAGCCAATGCTCATTTATCATTCCGAAAATCTTAGAGCCCTTAAGAATTATACTAAATCTACTCTGCGTGTGCTCTAAAAATGGAACAGAGTCTGCATGACAGCACAACTGTTTACAAGAAGGTTTACTAAATATTTTAAGCTCGCCATTAAGACCTACTGTTCAAAAAGATTCCTTTCAAAATAGTACTGCTTGTTGACAATGCACCTGGTCACCCAAGAGCTCTGATTGAGATGTACAACGAAATTCATGTTGTTTTCATGCCTGTGAACACAACCACCAATCTGTAGCTCATGGGTCAAAGGGTAATTTTGATTTTCAAGTCTTAGAAACTTCCTAAGGCTATAGTTGCCACAGATAGTGATTCCTCTGATGGGTCTGGGTGAAGTAAACTGAAAACCTTCTAGAAAGGATTTGCCATTCTAGATGTCATTAAGAACACTCATAATTCATGGGAAGAGGGCGAAATATCAACATTAACAGGAATTTGGAAGAAGTTGATTCCAACTCTCACGGACGACTGTAAGGCATTCAAGACTGCTTTGGAAGAGGCAACGGCAAATGTGGTGGAAATAACAAGAAAACTAGAATTATAAGTGGAGCCTAAGGATGTGACTGAATTGTTTCAATCTCCTAACAAAACTTTAACAGATGAGGAGCTACTCCATACGAGCAAAGAAAGTGCTTTCTTGAGATGGAATCTACTGGTGATGATGCTGTAGGACTGTTGAAACAACAGCAAAGAGTTTATGTCAACATAAACTTAGTTGACATAGCAGCAGCAAATTTTGAGAGGCCTGACTCCAATTTTGAAAGAAGTTCTACTGTGGGTAAAATGCTGTCAAACAGCATCGCATGCTACAGAAAAATCATTCGTGAAAGGAAGAGTCAATTGATGTGGCAAACTTCATTGTTGCCTTATTTTAAGAAATTGCCACAGCCACCCCAGCCTTCAGCAACTACCACCCTGATTAGTCAGCAGCCGTCAACACTGAGGCAAGATCATCCAGCAGCAAAATGATTATAACTCACTGAAGGCTCAGATGATGGTTAGCAAATCATAAATTTGACAACAGGTTAATATCTAGAATATATAAAAAAACAGCTACAACTAAAAAAAACTCTTCAATTAAAAGAGGCAAAGGACTTGAATAGACAATTCCCTTAAGAAGATACACAAGTGGTTAACAAGCATATGAAAAGATTTTCATCATTATAATCATCAGGGAAATGCAAATCAAAACCGCAACTGTTAGAACCGCCACTATCGAAAATACAAAAAATAATGTGTTGTGAGGATGTAAACAAACTAGAACCCTTGTGTACTGTTGGTAGGAATGTAAAATAGTGCAGCTGCTAATGGAAAACAGCATGAAGGTGCCTCAAAAAGCTAAAAATTGAACTATCATATGATTCAGCAATCCTGCTTCTGGGTCTATACCCCCAAACACAGAAAATAGATCTTAAAGAGATATTTGCACTCCCTTGTTCAGTGCAGCATTAGTCACAATAGCCAAGAGGTAGAAACAACCTAAATGTGTATCAGTGGATAAACGAATAAAAAAAAAATATGGCATATACATACATGGAATATTATTTAGCCTTTAAAAAGGAAATCCTATCATATGCTATAAAGATGAACCTTGCCGACATCCAGCCAATTCCTTTTCTAGGTGTTTACCTAAAAGAACTGAAAGCAGGGACTCCAATGGATATCTGTACAACAGTTTATAGTAGTGTTATCAACAACAGAGCCGAACTAGTAGAAAAAAATCTAAATGTCCATTGACAGATTAATGAATAAAGAAAATGTAGTATATACATACAATGGGATATTATTTAGCCTTTAAAAGGAATGAAATTCTGACACATGCTACAACATGAACCTTAAAAACGTTAAGAGAAACAAGCCAAACACAAAACGACAAATATTGAATGAATCCATACATATGACGTACCTAGAAGAGTCAAATTCATGAGAGAAAAAAGGTAGAATAGTAGTTACCAGAGGTTTGGCAGAAGAGATAGTCTGGAGTTGGTAGTTAATAAGTAAAGTTTCAGTTTGGGATAACAAAAAAAGTTCTAGAGATGAATGTGGTGATAATTGCACAACAATGTAAATGTACTTTATGCACCGAATTGTATACCCAAAAGGGGTTAAAATGGTCAATTTTATGTTGTTATGTATATCCTACCATGTTAAAAAAGAATTCTAAAATAATAAGAATAAATTCATTGACAGGAGAAGGTTTATCTTGTGTGACTTGAAATTTCTTCGATAGAAACTCATTAAAACATTTCTAAAAACATTAAAATCATTTTAAAGTAAACATCCTGGAACAAGCCTCTTCTCAAGAATCTTACAAATTTAATTTTTTTCTATAGATTATATCTTACCAGGAAAAGAACTGGGCTTTCTTTCCTTTCGAAAAAACCCAAAACTTTCAATAAGGGTGAATGATTCTCATAAGCTATATTCCTTTCATGGCTAAATGTCTGTTTGGTCTATTTCGCATGAACTATGCAGATCAATTTATCATACAGCAATATTTAAACTACGAGCTTTGGGGAGTGAGGGCGAAAGGAAAAAAACAATAACGCTACCCAGAGGTAGCAGTGCAAACCTAAACCCACAGAACCACAGCAAACATTGCTGTCTCAGATGAGCATTAAGGATCACTTCATTTCAATAAGCCAAAAGTTTTCTGGTTTAGGTCTTTTTATAGACACTGCCTCAGATTTCAACTTTAGGAAAACAGCTGAGTCAGTGGGACTCCTCCAGAACCTCATGACTGACCTGAGACCTAATCGACTTAGGGTTTTTAGTTTTTTCACAGTTAGAAACTATTATTCAGACTCCACCAATAAATATCAATGAATTTAATATCAATGAAATAAATAAGGAATAATCCACTGAAATCTGTATCCTTTATTCCTTTGAGGTCTAATCTCACAACATAACACTTAAGTGAAAATTTATTCTGTATTATTTCTACCCTTTTTTCCTGAATTTTACTTAATATCAATAAAGTCTCTTCAGATTTTAGGACATGTATTCTCCGGAAGGTAAGTGTTTTGAATATCAAATTCCTACAGCGGGCAAGTCAGGTTACATAACAGAACTTTGCAAGTGGGAGCAGATTCCCTACCTAAAGGTAGCAGCTGCCACCCCAAACCTGACTGCCCCACTGAAATATGGGCCCAGTGTCGTCAGCCTTTATATTTTTCAAGAAAAACCTTTTTTTTGGTATGAAATTTCCTATTTTTTAAATGGTGGCAACCATTACACACACACACACACACACACACACACACACACACACGCATCCCTACCTTACCATGCGGATCAACCAAAACATGCTACAGGGCCTAAACTTAGCTTGTGACCCTTGCCATACAGAATGTTTACACTCCAATTACAGGAAGCTATACTTGGTATAGGAAAAAAAATTTTTAAATAGAACTCTCCTTTGCAAAAGGCAATTCGTCCAGAATAGTTCCATTTTCAACACCCGTTTCCTCCCACCACCCCGCAAGCTCCTAATCTATTTTCCTAGGGCTGTGCCTTTCATGTCTATGATGGCTCAAGTGCATGCCCTATAGATTCCCAATTCCCTTAGCCAATGCCCAAAGGAAAATCAGGTTAAGGTGCTTTGTCCAACTAAAACATTCCCTGAAGGCAAACTTGCTTGAACTTCATTGACTTGTTTCTGTTTATACCATTCTAGCATCAAATATTCAAGTATTCAAGGCATCAAGTATTCAAAAAGTATACTGCATTCTCACTAAGCCAGAAGTACAGTATCCTAAATGAGTAATTTTCTACTAGAGAAACCTGAAAATTCCAATTGATCAAAAATATTTAACTTATATCCACAGCCTCAGAAAATATCGGAGGTCCATAAAAAAAAGTTAGAAATTATTAGTCTCACCCTTTCATTTTACCAGTTCAGAAACTAAGATTCAGAAAGGTCAAATAATTTTCCCAAAAATCATACAGCAAGTTGGTCGGCAAACTGGGACAGAATCCAGGTTATCTGACTCCACTCAGGATTCTATTGCACTACATGACACTGAGAGGGGAAACTAGGGAAGCTAAAAGGGAAATCTTCTGAAGAAAAGCAGTGAAAAAGGTAGGTCCTGGACACCCCTCCTCTGCTTTTAAAATTCACATTTGGCTGTTTATTTCACAGGTCATGCTACTTTCACTTTCTACATGAATTTACCAGCCCTACAAAGAGGGATGAATGAGAAAAAGTGTATTTTTTCCAGCTGCCAATCCGTTAAAGTTGCAGCTACTCATCAATGTTATGGTAATTTACATCCCAGGTTTCTAATGAGACAATTGTGACTAAATTTCCTCCTACCATAATATAGTCCAAGAATTACTCTCCAGAGTGAAATCCCCTATGTCTGATGAGGCCTGAATTACTTTTAAATGTCTTCTCACATTCTTTACATTCATATTCTCTCCTTCCGGTATGAATTTTTAGGTGTTCTACAAGGATTGAGCTTCGACTAAAGGTAGCTCCACAATAGTTACACTCATATGGTTTCTCTCCAGTATGAATTCGATGATGTTCATTAAGAGATGAGCTTTGACTGAAGGATTTTCCACATTCTTTACATTTATAAGGTTTTACACCAGTATGAATTCTCTGATGACGACTAAGGAGTGAATGGGTAGGGAAGGCTTTCTCACACTGATTACATTTGTAGGGTTTTTCTCCTGAATGAAGTCTCTGATGATAAATTACAGATGTAAAATGACTAAAAGTCATCCCACAATCATTACATAAGTATGGTTTTTCTCCAGTGTGAATTCTCTGATGTCGGGTAAGGCAAGAATTCTGTCGAAAGGCTTTGCCACATTCACCACATTTATACGGTTTCTCTCCAGTATGAATTCTCTGATGCTTGGAAAGGGATGAGCTATGACTAAAGGATTTTCCACAATTGTTACATGTGTAGGGTTTTTCTCCAGTATGAATTCGCTGGTGTTGAATAAGAGATGAACTGTCACTAAAGGGTCTCCCACATTCTTTACACTTATAGGGTTTCTCTCCAGTATGAACTCTCTGGTGTTTAATGAGGTGGGCAGTTAAGGTGAAAGCTTTTCCACAATCATCACATTTGAAGGGTTTCTCTCCACTGTGAGTTCTGTGATGGGGTGTGAGTGATGAACTGTCACTGAAAGCTTTTCCACATTCATTGCACATGTAGGGTTTTTCCCCAGTGTGAATTCTCCGATGTTTGGTCAGTGAGGCACTATAGCTAAAGGCTTTTCCACATTTGCTACATTTATGGGTTTTTTCTCCAGTCTCTGTTCCCTCTTTACTCAAGGTCGCATCTTGACATTCATTTTTCTGACATTTCTCACAGAGAGAGTTTTTCCTCTGAGCAAAGGATGCACTTTGAGTAAAGGTTATCCCACAGTTATTGCACTTCTGGGACTTATTCCCCAAATGAATTTTCTGATGTTTCTGATGTTCGGTAAGTGATGAAGAGTGACTTAAGGTTTTCCTGCCTTCATTACATTTCCGTGGCTTTTCTCCAGTGTGTTCTTTGCGGTTTTGAATAAGGTCTGAATGAAAACTAAAGGGTTTCTTGCATTCATTATACCTCCGAGATTTCTTCCTTAAATAGACTCTCAGATGTTTAATTATATCTGAAGTTTCTTTGAAATTATTTCCAAAGGGGCCTTTTTCTGGGTCAAATTCCTCACCCTTATTGCCTCTCCCGTGAGTTTTCTTTTGTGTGCCTGCCACTTGTGAATGTCCCTTATTGCCATGACCCTCCTCTAGTCTGCTGTGACGTTTCCGGGATTCTCCCATCGAGCCATGACCACCACCAGTTAGGCATCTTTCTATTATTTTATCCAAAGTTGATTCTTCCATAAGAACATCTTGATTTCGAACAGATCCCTTCAATCCACCTCTAGAGTTACACTCTAAAAGAAATAACACAATATTTCCTGTTTGCAATAAAGGAAGCTGCTGTATTTAGGGCTGAAACAGGAATAGAGGCAGTAATGACTATGAGGAATATGGCTTGGACGGTTCTCAAATAAGCTCATAAGACAAGGAAGGGAAATCTGATATAGGGGAAAGTAGGGAAACATAGGGCTTAGGGAAACTATTGAGGAAGATAAAAAGTTTATGCTTTATAATTAGAAATGCAAGTTCTCACCCTCATTTCAAATTTGTAGAACAGGTTCAAACATATTCCCCCTACATCTAATCTACTATTTTTCAATCATGACAGTGCAAACATTTATTGAATACTTAACAAATACCAGGTTCTATTATCAAGCACTTACTTGTATTTCACTTAACCTTTACAATAACATTATGAAGTTAACCTGTTATCCCTGTTTTATGGATGTGACAACTAGACACATAAATGTAAGTAGCTTTGCCCAAGGTCACGTGTATTATAAGTGGTAATGTCAGATTTTTAACCTAGTCTGACACCAAAGCCTAGGCTTTTGATCTCTATACCATACTGCCTCTCCTCAAAGCAGTCAGACAGCACTAAGTTTATAGGTGTTAATCGCATCATAGATATGCAACAACATCTATGCTAGACTTTCAAAAGTTACCACAGTCTGGCCCCGTGAACCTTATGGATACTCTAATCAGACATCCATTTACTGTCCTATTACTCTACAGAATTTCAATCATATTATTTTAGTCTTAACACTTCATACTGCCTAGAATGCAATCCCACAGCAGTTTCACTATCACAAACATAAATTTGACAGGGCCTAGTGTTCAAGTCCCACCATCTCTACAGAGCTTTCTCCAATACTATACTGTTTACACCCTTCTCAGAACTCGGAGTTCATTTATTAACCAAATCATTCATCTGAGATTGCTTTTGTCACTTTTATAAAACCATTTTTTAAATGGATAACTATAAAACACAAAGTCTTATTACCCAGAAGTTAATGATTAAAAATTGTTTTCTTCTAGAAATTGTTCTTTATTTTAGAATAGGAAAACTATGCATAATATGTAGTATTATGTTTCTCATTCATAATTCTTTCCCATATCATTGGTAATTCTTTCTAAAGATAATTTTAATCAGTTATATAATAATCCATCATTATATATTTACATTATATTAATAAAACATGTTATAGTTTACTCAGTTATTCCCTTATTGAATGTTTATCAAAAAATATTTCCCTAGAAGACAGTCATAAAAATGGAATTACTGAACCAACGGGTAGAGGAGTTATACCATCACATGATGCATGATGACAAGTACCTGAGTACTCCTCTTTGGTAAAATCATCTTTCTTTAAATCTTTGTGTTCCTCTCAAAGGGCAGATAAACATCCATTCTTTGTTTGGTAGCAAGATATAAGGGCAGTGGTGAAGGGATGAAACTGCTGGTCTCCATCCGCTAAAGAAGCAGACTACTTTGTTCATCATGGCCTCAGTGTATTTCATCAACTGGAGCCCTTGGGAAGCCTAGGGAAGGAAGTGCTGCATTTTCTGCTATGAAGCCTCAATTGACTAAGCACAAAATATTTTTTTAGTGGTATCTTTGATCTTGCTTTTTTATTTAAAAAAAAATTTTGTCTCAAAAGCTAATCACGTGATTATATTAGTGCAATGAAACGTTATTAATAAATTAATAAATTTGGTCTTAATCGTCATTACGAAAAAAAATCTTTGTGAATTTGATTCATAATATAGTACTGTTGCTCTAAATGTCTATTTCATTGTTGACCAGTGACTTGGAATATTTTTCACATTCACAGATATTTTAATTTTGTCACCTATCTGTTCAAGTTTTTCACCCATTTTTGTAACAGACTCAGTCTTCCTTATTGATTTGCATGAGCTCTTTCCTTTTATATAAATTATGGCTATTGACTGCTTTGTCTGTCAAAAACTTTTTATTATCTGTAATAAATGACTTTTTAAACAATTTGTACATCTAAACGATGCTTCTTTTACATAGTGTCTGTGGGGGAGGGACATATATATACCAATGCTGCTAGATTTTACTCAAAACGTTTTTAGAATCCATTTTTAGAATTATTCTCCCAAATGCTTCTTAAACATAAGACAATTGCTGTCCTTTATCTGTGTAACTATACTGAAAAAGAGCTAACAGATTGACTAAAATGAATGGTTAAGAAGATGGAATAGAGCAAAGCGAATTACTGTCTTAGTCAAGGTATTGATATATAAGTAATTAATTTTTTAAATGTAAATTTTATATATTTATTGTTAAATTTTAAGATAAAAGGATAAAGAAAAAGTATGATCCCTCAAAGATAACCAGTACGAACATGAATGTTCTCCATATTAAAAATCCATATATATCTATATATTCAAACATATACAAGTATATGTACATTTTTTTTCTTTTTAACGAATAATAGGATTATGCTATACATGCTGTCCTTTGGATGAATTCCTTCTTATCCTTCAGGATTCGACTCAAATGTCAATTAAGCCCTTGCTCCTACATTTTCTCATTGCTCTTTATACATGTCATCATCATAGTATACATCCCATTACTAACACTTTTTGTTTTGATATCTGTATCTATGGCATCCATAAAAATGCACCTCTCAGGTATCTCCTCCTCTGAGGTGCTTACCTAACAGCACCTGTTGCTGTTCTATGAATCCACCATGGCATTCAAACCAAGGCCACTTTCTCACAGCTGGTCGCAGTCAATGACAAGTATAGCAGGAACACTTAGGCCTATTTCTGAGACATAGTACTCTGGGAGGTGCCTCTGGCTCACGAACTATTTTTTGGCATTGTCAAAACTTTCTTAAACTGCACTGCGGTCTAAGACTCTTCCTACCCGATCTTCCTACCATCCTTTCTTCTCTCATTCACAGCCTTCAGACCTATACCATGCTCTGACAAATCTCCTAGCCTCTTGCAGCTCGTTCCCTACTTCTCTTCACTTGAATTCTCCCCAATAAGTCTCTGGCATCTACTTCTCAGAGAACCCAAACTAATAGAGTCTCCCATTAAAATGAACATTCCAAGAAGGCAAGGGGTATATTCAAAAGGATGTTTAGAATACACATTTCAAAAGCTCTTCCCGAATGACTTGGTAAGCCACTTTTTTGATTTCCTTGTTTACTTTTCACCGACTCACCTGGTTTGGAGCCTTTTGAGACTTCTTTTTCCAGCAGCCATGGCAGTTCAATCCACTTTAGCTGAGAAATCAAATCTAATTTGGAAACTGGAAAGCCTGCTCATAGAGAAAAATAACAACAAAGAAAAGGCTGTTTTTGCACAGAACAAAGATATTCCAAAATTTACACACAGCCTCCAGTTCCCCAGGGAAGAGAAGATGCTATCAAATACAGACATCAATACTGGAATCTGAGAAGAAAATGGGGAAGGTATGGCCTTGATGACAGCAAAATCATGCTCAACATTTCCAATTCAATGAAGCAAAGACTTTTTTTGGAGAAAACACTGCAGAAAAGTCCAGTTTCAGGACCCATTTTTAGGATTAGTGTGGGCTCACCCCCGTATGCCCAGCCAAAACAGTTAATAGGACTTATCTTTCAATAATAGTGGACAAAAAGATAACCAGCTTAGATGCTAGATCATGAAGAGATGTCTTTACCCAGAAATTCCAAGTTCCTAAAGTTCTCCAGTAGCACTTCCTTATAAAGTTGCTTTTGAAAAGGCTCCAGCTTCTTCCACTCTCCTCTGGAAAAGTTCACAGCCACATCCTTGAATGTCACTGGTCCCTAGAACATCAAACACAGTCTTTTTGCATCACATTATTCCCAAATAGATCCTGAGGGTTTAGAGAAGTGGTTAGGATATAAAGTATTAATTTTGAGATTATTTAAGTTTTTAAGGATTCCAAAGCAAGCTAGAGGTAGCTATTATACAACCATTACAAGTGATAAAGAACAAGATTATAACACATCCTTGCCTTCTCCATTTAGTCCCTGGTGTGAAATACTGTAAAAGGATTTTCTGGAATGTACTAATATTGATCAATTTCACTCTGTCACATTGATTTCTTGGATAAACAGAAAAATGTTAAATGAAGGATATAAATTACATTCCCAAACCCCAATTCAAGAATTAATATATAATCTAACTTCAGGCAAAAATTAAATACTTAAGAGTAACAACAGTGACCACATTCCAAAGTTCAATTTCCAATGACAATTAAAAAGAATCTGTGTTCAATAACATACTGACATTTACAATGACTCCAAATTACAAACAAGCACAATAACTCAAAGTACACTTTCTTTAGCATTCTCTCATTGCATTTTGAGAGAGTAAAACAAAGTGGCTATTAGCACTTGTATTAGCTCCCTGTGGATGCTAAAACAAATTACCATAACTTTGTTGGCTTAAAATAACAGACATCTCTTCTCCCACAATGCTGGAGGTCAGAAGTCTGAAATTAAGGTGTTGGCAGAGGTACACTGCCTTCAGAGGCTCTGAGACAAAATCTGTTCCTTGCCTTTTCCAGCTTCTGGTGGCTGCAGCATTTCTTGGTATTCCTTGGTCTGCAGCATTATCACGCCAGTCTTCACATCCCTGTCTTCTGTTTGTGTGTTCAATCTCCCTCTGCCTCTCTTATGAGGACACATGTGATGGTATTTAGGGCCCTCGTTTCAAAACCCTTAATCACATTTCCAAAGACCTGTCTTCCAAATAAGTGAAATTCGCAGGTTCCAGGGATTAGGAAGTAAACATATTTTAGGAGCCATTATCAGCCTACTATAGTAGTATTATTCACTATTGTGAATAAGAATTTTTTTTCCTAGCTGGAAATTATTCGTATATAGGACACCTATTGATTTGTAATCAGCTACTTTTCTCAACTATTACATGAGTTTCAGTACTTGTTCAGTTGAGTCTGAGGTTTTCCAAGTAGGTGATATCATCTGCTAATAATATACATTTGCCTCTTTTATACCAATACTTATCTCATTTCTTTCTTACTGCATTAGTTAAAATATTCAGATAATGCTCAATAGCAGTAAGGTTAAACACCCTTATCTTTTTTACCAACATTATGAGAACTGCTTTTTATTTTCCAACACTATCCAGCTGAGGATGTTCTTTTATCATGTTAGGAAATAACACAATTCTATTTTCACCTAATTTTATTAGGAATAACTGTTGAATTTTAGCAAATAATTTTTTGTTTTTATTAGACTCAGACTTGTGACAAATTCTAACTGAAATAAAATAGCATGTGAAAAGTGACCTCGAAGAAAAGGAGATTGTCTTAATTATTCTATCTAACATTGTTATACCACTCAGCAGGAGCTCAATAAATACTTAGAATGAAAACCAGTGAAAGGAAGCTTACCCAGGACTCTGTATTTGGAAGGACAGAAACCATTTTATCTTCTTCAGGATTCTCCTCTTGGGAAATTACAGAATCTTGAGAGACTGGATCTAGGAAGGAGGGGGGAAAAAAATCCAGTCTTTCAAATGGATTCTTCAGACTAGAAATTCTTATATGTCTCTGGAGAAAAAGGTCATAAGAAACAGAAAAAAGTTTTTTCCACTTTTTAAAACAGAGAGAATGGCCACAGATAGTTTCCTATTAAAACCCAAGCTTTTCCCTTATCCTGTAAAATACCCTTTCAATTCTAAGCTCAAAAAACAGATTTCATTCATTTCATCATCCACAGTTTAATGTATTTAATTTGCATAACAATTATTTTTAAGTTTTAAGATGTATTAAGGTAAAACAGCATATTTTGTTGTTTTCTTCATAGTCCTACCACAGTGCCTTGCACAAGTCACATTAAATGAACTGATTTCAAAAAATAAAATAAAATAAAATAAAATAAAATAAAATAAAATAAAATAAAAAAAATAAAATCCTTGAACAAACATTGATATTTCTGCATTTCAGTCTGCTTCCAAAGAACAGAAATTTCCAGATAAAATAAAATAAAATAAAATAAAATAAAATAAAATAAAATAAAATAAAATAAAATAAAAACTGATTCCACGTCTGGAATCAACAAGATTCCTAAAGGTAGAAACTAGGAATCTGAACCTATGAACTAAACGTATTATTCTGAAATGTTAACAGCTCTTCTAATAAGGGAAATGTCTTTTTTAAAATCATACTTCACTTTCTTAGGCAGCTTATTGATTAGACAATCAACAGAAATTAAGAATCAGAATTATGCAAAAAGAGGGATTATTTTAAGGAAACTGTCCTTTCTTACAGGATGCTAGAGCAATCAGTTCATGAACTTTATTGCAGGGGCCTCCACACAGAGGCACTAATTTTGTAGAGGCACCATGTTGCAGTCACAGACAAGTTAGCAGTCAGGATGCCAAATTTTAGATACACCAAAGAGCTGGGTGACCACAAATTAAGTCTGTGGTGGTAAACACTATTTCCACATTTATCTCAGAACTCCTGGTAGAATACAAACTGTCCCATGTATGTATTGAGAACCTTATGGTAAATGATATACAAAAATACTTGGAATATTTGTATCGCACGATAAAAGGCAGAGCTGATTCAAACTCAGTCCCGCCTCCAAACTTAGTCTCCTCTTTAGCCACAAATTGCTTTCTTTTGGGGAGTGTACTCTCACACCCTGAGATCTCTCCCACATTCTCCCTCCAGCTATAAATCTCACCTTCCTTTTCTTCAAGCATTTGGGTCAAATCCTCTATTAAGTTCACCACTTCCTCACTATTCTCAGGATGTTGTGACTTTACCCAAATCCTGACCTCCCCAGGCAAAATGGTCAGGAATTGCTCAAACACCAAAAGCTCTAAAATCTGTTCTTTCGTATGGATGTCTGGGCTCAGCCACTGAGTGCAGAGCTCCCGGAGTTGACTCAGGGCTTTTCTAGGTCCAGCCTCTTTTGAGTAACAAAACCACCTGAATTTCTGTCTGAAATACTCCGGGTCAGTCATGTTTCCTCTTGCAATAGCGTCTGGATTCTCAGAAGTATCCATTCTTAGGACATTGTTTTGTTCATCTGAGGCCAGAGTTTGAGGCTCTGGGGAGATGGCTGTCATCTTGTCCAAGGCGACTACAGTTTACACTGTGTATCACCAGCAGGGAATTCAGTTCCTTTCAGACAATAGTTGAATATCAATACAGTCCACCAACAGGCACTATACACAGCAAAATATCAAGTGTTCCAGGGATTCAGTTTATGGTCTTGCAGAAACTGTAAAGAAAAATATAAGATAGTAAATAAGTCAAATTGTTAATCCTAAAAACATTGCTCTTGGTTTGGTTCAGATATACGTATACATACACATACTCTCAGAGACCTATGACTGTCCTACTCACCTACTGTATTAAAGGAATAATTTTCTTTGAAGGTGAAAAGCTGAGAAATTACTTAAGGGTAATTAAAGGTACCCGACAAGAAAACAGTTTCTTCAGACTAGCTACTCCTCATAAGCAAAACTGATCTGAAAAGGCTCACTGCTACAAGAGGACTCAGTCACAAACCCATTCAACAACTGCTGCCCTCCCTCAGTGAATGGCCACGCATTTCCCACCAGTTGCCTAACTCAGAAGCCTGATTTCATATTTGCCTCTCAAATTTCTCACATAATAACCAAGTTCTGGCAGTTTTATTTCCTAAGAACCTCTCCATTCAATCCTACTGAAACTACCTAAGTACAGGCTTCTCCAATCCAGTCTCACACTGTAGCCTATGATCCTATCCCTCCCCACTGTCTCAAAATAAAATTCAAATGCAGAAGTTATGCATGATGATCTAGAGACCCTGCCCTGATGACCTCACCTCCTGAGCTCTAGCTGCCCTGATGGACACTTGCAAGTCATAAAGAAGTATCCCCTTTCCCAGACACTCTTTATCTCTTTCCATCCTTTGCACTGGAGCCATTCCTTCCCTTGGAATGCTGCTGTCTTCTTTCCTTCTCCTCCCAAACGTTTATTCGTTTTTTAAAACTCGACTCCTTTCAACTGTCACTTCTCGTGCAAAGCTTTCTGATTCCCAAGTGCCTTTTGCAGAGAGCCTGTCCTGTGTCGCCTGCATTCTTTCATTCTACAATAACTGAACATCTACAATGAGCTGGGAATGGGGCACTACGGAGGCAGACGTGGACAGGTCAGACGCGGTCCCCATCCTCACAGAGCACCCAGGAAATAACAATACAGCCCGAGATGTGCTATCATGCGTCCAGTGAGAGGGCACGCTCCTCCTATTGCAACTATGGTAACAATAATTACCCGCCTCCGAACACAGAACCCGGACCACCGTATCCATGACGTCATTTATTCCTCTGCCAAATATTAAGTACCTACCGCCGTGCTGGGCACCTGGGATTTTACAGTGACTAAGACACTTGTCTCCAGAGAGCTTATAACAGGCACCGCGAAAATGTTACGCATGCAGAAAGTTCTCAAACGGGGGGGGTAGGTGGGGATTTGCCTCACGGGGGATGTTGGCACTGCCTTAATCCATTTTGGTATCACAGCTGGGGTTGGAGGGGTGCTACTGGTACCTAGCGGGTAGAGAGCCAGGGATGCTGCTAAATATCCTGCAGAATACAGGACAGCCCCCTCCCTCACGCACACACAAAAAGGAATTTTCCCACTCAAAATGTAAAAGTACCTAAGTTGCGAGACTCCGGGCGCAGGGAGGGGGATGGAGGAAAGCTGTCATTCAGGAGATCGCCCACCTCCCACAGGAGCTGAAGTGTTGGGAGTGTACCGTGAGGTCGGTCGGCTGCCCTCCGCTCCCAACCCACCCAAGTGTGCCCTCGGAGCCAGCGACCTGGCCGCGACCCCCCCAACTACGGGCCCGGTACAACCACTACCTGCATCAGGACCCGCAGCCAAGACCAAGACTACCGCAGTGAGCTTCTAGAAGCTGGTCCTGCAGCAGCTGCGCGCGCAAGTCGGCTGGGGACCACTGCGCCTGCGTAGGGGCGCAGAACTACGATTCCCGGAATGCGCTTGTCTCGTTTTGCGAAAGTCCTGTCCTTTCCATAGGCTCCCAACCTGGCCTGTTGCGCACAATCTTTGGAAAGCGACTGGTGGGCTCCGCCACAGAATTATTGCTGCGCCAGAGGCCTAAAGGCCTAGAACCTTCTCGGGCTTTCATATCTATGATGTTCTGTCTCCCTGGTAACCTCAAGCCATCCCTCTCTCCTCCCCTCCCTTCTCCTCCCAGAAATTGAGGCTGGAAAAACCCACTGCAGAAGCATATTAGTAGTAATGCATACAGTACAAGGCATAATTAATGCAACTTGAATTAAACAAGCATTAATTTTATGACTTTCATACCTGTCACCATAGTCTAAACCATCATCACGCTTCCTCTGAATTATTGCAATAGCTTCTTGATTTCGCTTTTTTCCACACTGCAGGCAGAGAAATGCTTTAAAAACATAAAACAGATTATGCCTCTCTTCTACTTAAAACCCTGCAAAGGTTTCCCATTTTGCTCAAAAGTGGAAAAAAACAAACAAACTAATTTTGACAATGACCTTACAAGGCCCTGTGGAAGCTAGCCACCCATTACCTCCCTGACCTCTTCTCCCATTCCCCTGCTCTGTCACAATGGCCTCCTTGCTCTCCCTCTCCCTCCAACCTGCCTGGCACTTGTGGCTGACACGATCCTCCCAGAGGTAGCAGTATCCTTCATAGCTTAGTGAACCTCTCCCACCACTATACTTGTACTGGAACCCAACCCCCTCCCCACTCCTGCTTCTCCTTGTAACATATTATATCATATTCTTATTTGTTGTGTACTCATTGTCTGCATTTTTCACTAGACTATTAGTTCTACAAGGATAAGGATTTTTATTTGGTTTGTTCCATGGCAATACAATTCCCAAGTGCTAGAACAGTACCTGACACATAGTAGGTGCTACATAGATATTTGTTGAATATCTGAATTGGCACTGCATAGATTACTAGGGGTATAGCAAAAAGGGCTAAAGAACTTCAGAAAAATTGTTTGGAGGGTCCTAATAACTAGATCAATTTTGGAGGGGCGGAGTTGGGAGAGAAAGACATTCCTACTGAAGGAGCAGGATGGGTCAAGGCCCTAAGACTTTAAAAGGACAGAGCAAGTTCAACTAAATGAACCATTGGATTCATCTCACAGAGCCAGTTAGAGGCTATTATTTCCTCTCTGGGAGAGCTGATCATCTCCCAAAAAGAAAACGATAAAAACTGTCCTGACTCTGTAGAGCTGTAATGGGGAGGGTGGGGGAGGAGTATCTTCCAGAAAGGAAAGGGAAAGAAATAGCAAGCAAGCAAACTAGCAAGCTACAGTAAAGATCCACTAGAGAGAAAGAGGATGAAGATACACAGCAAAGGAGCATTCTATAAAATGAAGACTCAGAAACCAGGAGGAAACACAGATGGAGAGACTAGCCCTAAACAGCCAGAGCCAGGGACCACTATTCATTGTAACGAAGGTAAAGAGGCAAGGAAAAGTGTGGATGCAAGCAGGTATGTAACCGATGGTGTCTGATGGAGTCTGCTGAGAGGAAATCTATTGAGAAGGCAGCAAGAGAAGTAGATGGGAGTGGGATTTGAAGCTTGATAAGAGTAGATTAGGTTTGAGATAGCTTCTAGGTAGAATATGAGCTGACCAAGAAGACACTGAAAAATTTCCCTGCAATGTTAGAGATTACCGATTTATGTCAGGTCAATAAGTGCATTGAATGATTTTTCTCAAGATATACAAATTAGTTCCAGAATACTTATAGAAAAGAGGGATGGTTGGGTTGATCTAGAAGATGGGATTTTGTAGGGTGGCTCTGATAGGAAGGTAATGGGTCAAGGAGTTAAGGATATGAGCAAAAGGATGTTTGAAATGAAGGATGGAATCCAATTTAGATAAGGAAGATGAAGATAGGAGCTAATATAAAGGAAGAAAGGCAAGAGGTCAAAGGATAAGAGAAATCAAAGCATAATAACCAATATACTTAGAAAGTTAAACATATTCGTACCATGTGACCCAACAATCCCACTCCTAGGTATTTATTTACTCATGAGAAATGAAAACATGCCTACAGTAAGACCTGTGTAGAAATGTTTATGGCTGCTTTATTAATAATTGCCCCAAACTGGAAACTACTCATATTTGTAGCAACTGGTAAACAGATAAATGATCTTATATTCACACAATGGAATACTACTCAGCAACAGAAAGGCATGAACTACTACTATGTGCAGCAATATAGCTGAATCTCAAAAGCGGTATACTAAATGAGAGAAGCCAGACACAAAAAGGTATACACTATATGGTTCTATTTATATGACATTCTAAAAAGACAGAGTTACAAGGACAGAAATGAGATCAGTGGTTGCCAAGCACTCGTAGTGGAGAACTCAAGGGAATTTTGGGGGGCAATGGAAATACTCTATAGCTTGGTTATGGTGGTGGTTCCATGATTGTGTATGTCTGTCAACTTGTATACTACATACATTTGTCAAATAGAATTGTACACCTTAAAAACTTGAATTTTATGGAGGTGGCTCCATAGTGTAGTGGTTAGCACATCTGCTTTACACACAAAAGGTCCTGGGTTTGTGGCCCAGGTGGAGCCACGGGCCAGGGCCAGGGCCCGGGCCCCCAAGGGGTGCCAGGCCCTGGGTGCATGCCACAAGCATGTGGGAGGAGACACTCCACCTTCAGAGATCCAGTTCTTAAGGGGAAACAGCAACATCTATAAGTCAGGGGTGGGAGTGGGTGGGGGGAATTAAAGAGGGGAAAAAATTGAATTTTATTATAAGTGAATTATATCTCAATAGAAACAAAAGCATATTTGTGTAAGACTGTTCACAGTGGCTTTTTTTGGTAATAGTTAAAAACTGGAAACATCTCAAATGTCCAGCAACTAGTAAAATGGATAAACAGTAAACAGTAGTGGTACAGCCAGACAACTGAATACTACTCAACCATAAAAAGGAATGCACAACCTAGATGAAATCTCAAAGTGATGAAGTCAAATAAAAAAATACGTAGCTATCATAGTATAGGATTTCATTTATATAAAATTCTAGAAAATATAAACTAATCTATAGCGACAGAAAACAAATCAGTGGTTGCCTAGAAGGGGAGAGGGTCTTGGCGCAGAGATAGAAGAATTACAAAGGTCCATTAGGAGACTTTGGGGATTTATTATATTAATTGTGGTGATGTTTTCGTGGGTGTACGTGTATGTCAAAACTCATCTTTACTATTCTTTAAATATGTGGTTTGTTGTTTATCAATTAAACCTAGATAAAGCTTAAAAAATGTGTGACTCAATAAACCTGACTTTTAAAAAAATAAATAAATAAACCTGACTTTGAGAAAAGAATGAATGTATTGGAATAACTGAGCAAAAGTCGGGGTGACAGTCTAGTGGGTGGGTCAAAAGAAGGGAAAGCTTAAGAAGTAGGATACAACTGTGCATACATTTGGTGACCAAGTCTAGGCTGTGCCTGTGGGAGTGGGGTCACTGCAATGGAGTGAAGGTGAAGGAGAGCGGAGAAGAAACATTCAAGGAAATGGAAGGCCAAAGTGGAGGATGTTTCCATCAATGGATGTTGACATCCAAGATGCTTCAGGATTTAAAATGGAGAGGAAGACTTAAGCTAGGTGGAACTTTGGTCTGAAGTCCCAGTGAGGAGCTAGGAGGAAACTGATTCTACTACCTCACCCAGTGGAATGTGAGATGTAAGAGATTTCGCAGTTTGTACTGGAGAGGGCTGCACGGGACAAGGCACAATCAGATAAGGTAGGAAATGAGAGTGAATTCTGTGAAGCTCTTGAGGATACACGGGTGTCTGTAACTACTAAACAGGTTCCAGATGGCTCAGTGGAGGTTATGGGGGTGATTAGAAGAGGCTGGGTCAGCCTGAGAGGAATGCAGAGAAGCCTGGGGTTTGTAGCACAGGAATAGAAAGATCCTAGAGATGGGGGTGGGAGTGAGGGCGGTTTGAGGATTTTAAGAGAGACAAAGCATTTCTTAGCCTGAAGTAAATTCAGACTGGGTTTCAGCAATTATTTTTCCTCTATCTAATAGTATTGATAATATTGTTTGCCTACACATCTTTCCTAGATATTGGCTCCATCCTGTTCCATAGGTAATCTGGGTAGAGGTACAGTGTATTTATCTCTCTGGGCGCGGCTTGGAATTAAACAATTCTTTGAGCCCCTGAATATAAAAGCTGGAGTCCCATGAAACACGCTGGGTGCTCTTGACCCAAGAGTTAGTTCTCATCCTTGGAGCTGGCTGGTTGCTAGACAATGGATGCCAGTCCACTCCCAAAGGCTCCATTGGCTGTGGCCCCGGTGCTGTTGGGGACAAGACACAGTGTGGCCAAAAGATTTTCTGCATGTGTCAACCTTACCAAGTCACAGTTGATGTCCTTGCTGGCTTAGAAATGTCCACCTTTGCTTTGACCTCAGCTGGGTGTGTTCCCATTTACTTTACAACTTGCCTTTGGTCTTTATTGACAATCTTTGTTCTTCTGTATCACTCCTCTTATAAGGCATTTCCATTACTTTTTGAAAGTAAGTGGGTGGGAGGGAAGAGACGATAAATAATTAATGTTTGCTTAGCTCAGTATATTCAAAACCCATCTTCTTATCTTTTCCCTAGTCTCCAAACCTATTCTTCTACCTTGGTTATTATGCTCTCCCTTGTCCCTGAATCCCTACATCTCATCTATCTTTGATTGCCTCTTGAATTTGAAATTCAACTCTCCATTTCTATTACTTCTCATCTGAAATGTTATAATTGTTGCCAGAATAGTTGCCTT